GGGGTGCAAATCCGTGCCTGGTGTCGAAGTCATTAGTTCCACTCATAGATATAGGAGATCTAGATTGCTAACGCATACCTAGCACAGGCGGGGCCTACATGATAAATCCAAGATGGCGGTACAACAGGGCAAAAAGACTATAGATTCTATTACGAAAATCAGGATTTTTGCATTTTTTGCCGTCGCATTGTTTCGAAACTTATTCGGTCAAATTTTATGGTAAAGAGAAACTTATCGCGAAGATTTTGAGCATATATATGATTGGATTGGATGAAAAATCGCAAAATTATCCACTGATAAAAGTTCGTGTGAAATGGTCAGTTGGTGCGTTTTATTGCCAGAAATACTGTGCTATGTTAACATCTAGCCTTGTGAATGGTGTTTTATACTTGCATCTCTCATCATCATCTGCTCTGTCCTCATAATTATGAAAAATGAACTGTTGTGTACCCCCCCCCCCCCTTGCTTGTTAGAGAAGTAAACTGATGAGAGCACTGGATGAGGTCTATCATCTATGGTCTGTTATAATTTGCTTTTTATGCAAATAGTGAGCAAAAATTAAAGCAAAACTGTACAAGTTACATATATAGTACTATATCAGTACTATACACGAACTTTTATCAGTGGATAATTTTGCGAGTTTTCATCCAATTCAAGTGGAAAACGTTTCAGAACCTGGGGACCACGTTCCCAGAAATATTTTGGGGGTCTACATTTTTGCAGCAATTTTCAGACATGTTTTGATGTTTGATAGCTAATTCTGAAAATTACACTAACAGAATATCTAAATTACTAAATACACGATTATTGAAATGATAGAAGACCTAAGTAATCTACAATGTCTCAATACCTAAATTACAGTGGAACAGTTCGGAACGACAATATTCATATAGCCTGGAGTAGTAATTTGTTTTTAATTCTGTAAGACTGTAACTACTATGAGTACTTCAGGATTTATTTTATTTGCCTTCTTAGTCTTCAAGACTTATTGCTTCATACGACAAAACATCTTAATGAATATATAATCCATGCGAGGTGGAAAAGACGGTCACAAAAAACAATTTTATTATTTTCCCCTATTTTATGGTAATCGTTTGCAGAAAATTTTGAGCCCTAAACCCCGCTTCCCAGAACGAAAAAAAACAACATTTTCCACTTCTGCCCATCTCATTTAATAATTTCAGTCGTCGTTTTGTCCTACCTCGCTATCCATCTTCGCACTATCCTGTATTGGCGGTGCAGATAAAATGTTAGTAATCCTGTGTAAAAATAAGATTCCTCAGTATATAACTTCATTGTCTTGGGAACAGTATAGAATCCTCAACAAATATAAAGTTAAAGTTATTCTAGAGCTGTCATGTAACACACATTTTTAAACTCTATATTTCGAAACAATAGCAGTTGTGCCGGTTCTAGAAATTTCAACTCGGTTCTGGTTTCGGTCTTTTGGGGGAAAAGAACCTCGGTTTGGTTTCGAAGAAGAACAATGCAAAGCATTTTCTCAATAAATTGCAATTATATAACTTCAAACTAAACAAGTTAGGCCAAAAAAAAAATATGTGGGTTTCCGGTTTCTTCTTATAAAAACTTAGGTAGGGTAGGTCGGTTTTAACTTTTTTTTAAACTTTTTTTTTAATTTTCCGAACAAGCGGACGCCATTTTGTTTAGTCAGTGCTTCCACATCCAAAGATAAATTTCCCTAATATTGCCTCAAATTTCAATTTTCCACAAACTTTTTCCTCTAAGTGGAAACACTTACAAGCACGATCCAATAAAAAAGTTTAGGGTCGGGATTTCGACGTCCAAAAGCTAGGTAGGGTCGGGAAACCGGAAACCCACATATTTTTTTTTGGCCTTATAACAAATGGACCTATTACCTAACAAACAAAAGTCTAGATAAAAATTTCATCAACATTTTGTTTACATCTTTAAAAAGGTCCAAATGACGTCAGTTTAATGAAATTTCCTTAAAAGTGAGAATCCTGGAAACAGTAAAACATGGAAAACCGAAGCTACTGATTCTTTTGCGCATGCTCAGTGCCGACTCACTGTGCTAAAAAAAGTACCAGACCAACCGAATAATTTATATCGGTTCACCGCACAGCTCTATAATCTGGGTTCGATTCATCTTCAGCGGTATACACAACTTACTTTGATAACTTTTTTATATAAATTGTATGACAGACTATAATTGGGGGTAAAACATATCCCATAATTCACTTACTCTTGTTGTGTAACTGTACAATCCATAGCAATATGACCGCTTGATCCACACTTTGTACAGGTTAATGTCGCTGTGAAGTTAGGTTGCTCAGGACATTCCCAATGTTTATGCTCAGATGAACCACAATTCCTGCAGCGTACTATCTCTTCGTCACGCAATGTACCATTGAGTGCTGCAAGCTCACGCAGTTGTAGTTTCTTTAAACTGTTTTCACCTTCTGGGGCGTCTACACCTTGCTTGATAATTGTTTTGATCTGAAGAAATATTTATAGGGTCTTAGGGTCTGTTCATATCAGCCCGGTTCCCAAAAAGCCGTCAACAAGTTGTATTCGCACTGCTTGTCCCAAGTTGTCAACAAGTTTGGAACAAGCTGTTAACAACTTGTAACAACCTTGTTGATATCATCAGACTTGATATTTTCTGTGTTGGTGCAATGTACTCAGGTGAATAAATGCTTGTGATGTGGCTCTGAGTGTATATCCACATCGGGCAAGCTTGAAAAATACGCCTGACCACGGTGGGAATCGAACCTACGACCTTTGGAATACTAGCCCAATGCTCTACCTACTGAGCTACGCGAAGCAACTAGATTGATATCGAAGGAACTAGATTCTGTTCCGAAATATCACATACTCAAACCGACCAGACCGCGTAGCTCAGTAGGTAGAGCATTGGGCTAGTATTTCAAAGGTCGTAGGTTCGATTCCCACCGTGGTCAGGCGTATTTTTCAAGCTTGCCCGGTGTGGATATACACTCACAGCAACATCACAGGCATATCATCAGACTTGTTGCAACTTGAAAGTCTGATACAGTCATGACATAACAATGTTGCTACAACCTTGTGTGGCCAACCTTGTAACATTCTTGTTATATCATGACTGTATCAGACGTGTTAGAACAACCTTGTAGCAAGTTTGATAATGCCATCAAGCTCGTTACAAGTTGTTAACAGCTGGTTAGCTGGGCTTCTATGAACAAGCCACTAGCATGTGTACCTGTATGTATATGGCAATGTGAATACAGCACTAATGTTTCGGATTTACGAGAAATCTTTCACTCTAGTGCAAACGGGGTCTTAACGAGTCAAAAGTAAAACAGAATAGATCCCAAAAAGTTTGAAGCCTACCAGATCAACACATTTCTTAACAGATTCATGATTCTGGCCTGTGATTAAAGCATGAAGTATTTCATCTTCTCCTGGCAGAAGCTGGCCATCTTTACGACCCTAATAATACAACATTTGAGAACGATTAAATTTCATTTCTGCATCATCCATTAATTAAACCAAGGAAACATACGAGGGTCTCAAATTTACCCTACTGAGATACATGTACCAGGAATCAAAGTTCTATATCCCATCTGAGAATCCGGGATACTGGTTACAGGGGCAGCACTAGACCTCTTTTAATTTGGGGGGGGGGGGGTAAGTGAAATTTGCAGAGTTATCAAGACACATTTGGCCAAAGTCACTACAATCACTAATTAATAGCAGTGGCACAACTGGACACCATATTTCTCAATCTTATTTTGTGTTTAACCATCATTCTCCATTCCATTTTTATCTAACTTTTTTGTAAATTTCTCCATGTTTTGCCGAATGGGAGTCAATATTTTGCCGACTACTTGATGACTAGCGCTGGCCCCAACTGGTTACCATAAATTTTGTCATCATCCCGAACCACCAAAGTAGTAAGTAGACAGTACATGTCTCTCGTTGTTATAAATTACAATACCAACAGGAGTCTCAACAACTAGACCACCAAGTTGGAAATCGAAGGCAGACTCGTAGTATTCAAAGTAGCCTGCGAACAGGCTCTCTTTGAACTCCCTTTGAAATTTGAGAGAGAGCCTGCAGGCCTAGCTAATAAAAACGCGTCTGTGCGTTGCTTAGAACGACGCAGGGTTCCCATTGGTTGAAATTGAATTAACTACATTATACTGCCATAAAAGGTAATTAAATTTACACAACAATAGATTCAAGGTGTCAACACAAAGTGCGGAAATTGAAAAATATCGTTCTATAGCGATAAAAAATGTATTAGACGAGTTGTGTAGAAATTTTAAACTAAATCTTTGTTTAAAGTTAAAGGGTACGTGAGAGTCAAAAGCTCTTAACAATATTTTAGACGGAAACGATGTTTTTGCTGTATAAGAGAGTTTGGCAAATACAACGGCAACATTCTTATATCAACAATAGCATCTTTACTCTAAGACAAAGGCGACTATAATTTGCATTCGTGAGCATTCTAGTACGCCGTAGTTGTTCAAACTCAAGTCGTTGCGGTGTTTATTCACGTGAATTCACTTCAGGGAATTTCAGGGTTGTTTGAATCGATATTTGCGTTTTGTTTACATATATTCGCAGGCTATTACATAAGGCGTGTCTGTATTAATTAATTTGTCACATTGTATTTTACATTGATTGACAACACTATAAATAGTGATGGGCACGGACGTATTTTTATCGACTAAACCAGCAGGCTCTAATTCAATTCACAGACCCTGTTCGCAGGCTACATTCAAAGCTAATGGGAGACTATACCGGAAGACATCTAGAGTTATCCTGTTTGAAATCTTATTTGTAATATCCAGTCAGGATACAAGTCATTCACAGTTATTTTTCATAATAGTGATGTTATTATTGGCAGATCTAGATTAGAAACTTGCTAGTTAAAATGGCATATAAAGCCAAATTTTTTACTTTAGCTATAACACCTGAACTATTGTATTACAGACCTTTCCATCTTTCACCGATCCTTTACCACGAATCATTATCTTACAGTTTGTCTAGAATAATGATAAAATGAAAGAATTTGTTTTGGTTTTTAAGAAATAATTAGGTTGCGGTGATTAATCAATAAACCAAAAAACCTTTTACTACAGTTGGGCTTTCAAATAGGTCACTGAAAGAAATATTTTACAAGTATGGGATAAGTGGGTAATTGGCTATTCGCAGTAATTGGCTATTCGCTGTTGCGGTCACCCAGCCGTGGTCATGTACTGTATTTCATTATGTACGTTTGTTTTTGTCCTGTTATGTAATGTACTGTTTCATCGGCAAAGTTTATAAACTAAAAATTAAAAAATTAAATGGTGTGATCATCTTTTTGTCCTGTTTGTGGCTTCACCAATTGGTAGTCAACTAAGCTTTCTACTGCAGTATAAGAATGGATGAAATTCTTATTTCCAAATTCTTGTAGTTAGTGTCAAAATCACTTCTATATGTTTGTGCTAACTATTCTCTTGCCAATGTTACAACTTACAATATTATACCTCAAATTTAAATTGTCCAATCAGGAAGCTAGATTTGTACCACGTGAGCATGAAATTTATCATCGTATCGCGCTTACGTCATTCGTATTTGGTGCAGCAGGAAATTTCAGTCATATTCACCGGTGAATATGAGTCAAATTCACCGGTGAATATGATTCGCATAGACCACGCGAGACAACACGCATGACAACAACATGGCCGACAAAGTATAAATAGTATTGATGAGTGATGAATAATCTGGGTAAATGACTGTAAAACCTGGGGCTTTTTCAAAATTTTGGAATAAATTTTGAAAAATGTTGTCATTAATATTCCAAACGATATCTGATTCGAAAGAAAAGCGACGATACTTGCGTTAATCCGAAACTAAAACATCGTATTCACGAAGGTATGTGTCAAGTTTTTATTTCTCAACTTGGAGGCTTTTAATTTTCGGTATAATATATCATTTATAGACCCTCCGCTCGGGGGATTCGGCGAAATATTTCCCGAAGTGATGATATTTCCCTCGGATCCCCCTCGCTCCGGGTCTATAAATGATAAAAATTCAATGAATGATACAGATTTAGAAGTAATGTTTTAAATATACTAGCCGGCGGTAGCTGCCGGCTTATTTTGAAATCCCTGCTACAGTTACTTACATCTTTTTCAGTTTTCTTCAATGTATTTCCCCTATAAAATGTAAGAACACACATCAAATTGCAAGTTTGCCACACAACAAAATACAACTAATTTTGAATATTCTATAGTTATTTGCGACAAATTACCTGGGACCAATTAATAAACCAATAAAATTAACATGCGGATGATCATCTTGTGGAATAAATACTTTTTCTTGGATACGAGTGGCAGGTGGTCTGAAGAAACAGAAAGAAAATATAAATCCATGTACTTTACTCTGTGTACATCAGGATGAATCGTCATACACCATTTCCCGGAAATCTCTCCACGGCAATGACGTCAACAATGGACCTATTACCTAATGAACAAAATTTTTATCTAGACAAATCTAGGCAATTTCATCACAGCTTGAAAGAGCATCACAAAATTAGTAATATTCCGAAGTTTCGTTGCAAAATGTTGTAAAATGTGGATAATATAGCCCTGCAAAGTTTGCCGTTTTCCAGTCATTTTGTATTACGCACGGGAAATTGATAATCAGTTTGGTCATCTGATTATCAATTTCCCGTTTGTAATGCAAAATAACTGAAAAACGGCAAACTTCGCAGTGCTATATTATCCGCATTGTACAACACTTCGCAACGAAACTTCGGAATATTAGTAATTTTGTGATGCTCTTTCAAGCTGTGATGAAATTTTTGTCTAGACCAAAATTTTATTCAGCCCTGGTATGGAAATAGCCATCACAAATTGAAACCTCAACTGAGCATACAACTGAGAGTTATCATTTTTAGGTTGGCAATAGACCTTTCCCCTTTTAAGTGAGATTTTGATCTAGACAAGTTTGTTTTTGTCCAGGCTAGTCCAGATCAAATTTCACTTAAAAGGGGAAAGGTCTATTTTAAGTCTGAAATTTCTGGCATTTCAAGGGTGTGAGGCACTAAATTCCAAAGGCTGTGAGGCACTAATTTTCTAGGGCTGTGAGGCACTAATTTTCAAGGGCTGTAAGGCACTAATTTTCAAGGGCTGTGAGGCACTACTTTTCAAGGGCTGTGAGGCACTTATTTTCAAGGGCTGTGAGGCACTTATTTTCAAGGGCTGTGAGGCACTAATTTTCAAGGGTTGTGAGGCACTAATTTTCAATGGCTGTGAGGCACTAATTTTCAAGGGCAGTGAGGCACTA